TTGTGCCAGAAAGGGGATAGAGGTACATGGTCTACTATGATGTCTAGAAGGAAGGATTTGGGTATGTTTGATGTATTCTGGGATGGTGGTGGTTTATGGCTCACGACAGTTGAATAACCACGAGCAAAACTCCCCACTCACGAGATGGAGTTGGCGGCCATTGTCTTTGCGTTGAAGGCATTACCACCTGAGTATGACAAATGTGGTGGCTGATTCACTCAGTTGAAAATCATGGGGAGTTTTGACTAGTATTGCTTTTCGAGAATGGTAGATGCTCGAGACTATGGGACAGTTCGGGCTACATTACAGAGATCAGGCTCAGGGTACTTTCGGATGTCTGGTGACTACGTTTTCTCTATTGAGCAGAGTGATCGAGTCCCAGAGGTAGGATATAGAGATATTATCTATCAAGGACTGGGTACAGTCGAGAATGGGTGACGACGGTTGGGCCATTCACTCAGATGGTAGCCTTTGGTTTAGGGTAAGGGTTGTGGTTCTCCTGTTTATGGATTTGAGAGAAGAGATCATCAGAGAGTTTCATTGCTCTCGTTTTGCTGTGCATCTTGGTGGCATGAAGATATACCATGATCTTTGTCGACAGTTCTATTGGAGCTAGATGAAGGGATATGTCAGAGACTTTACTGGTAGATGATTCACGTGTCAGCAGATCAAAGCGGAGCACTAGAGACTAGTAGGGTTGTTCTAGCCTTTGGAAGTGGCTGAGTGGAAGTGAAAGTAGACGCATGTCACTATGGATTTGGTGACTCACTTGCCACGGATCTTGCTTGGGCATGACGCAGTATGGGTGATAGTAGACCGACTTATAAAGTTAGCACATTTTTTGCTATGCAGATGACTTTTATACTGGAGGAATTCAACAGATTGTATATACAGGAGATAGTTCAGTTACACGAGATGTTGCCCGTATCGGTAATATCGGATCAGGATCTCAGGTTTATGACTCATTTTTTGGGAGAGCTTTCAACAGGCTATGAGAACACAATTGATGATGAGTACAATTTTTTATCTCTAGACAGACGATCAGTCGGAGAGGACTATCCAAACTTTAGAGGACATGCTTCGGGCTTGCGTCTTTGATGTTAAGGGTAGCTGGGAGGAACACTTACCCTTAGTGAAATTCGCTTATAACAATAATTACAAGGTGAGCATACATATAGCACCCTATGAGGCACTTTATGGGAGGCCGTGTTGTTTTTTGGTTTGTTGAACAAAGGTTGGAGAGAGACTCTCTACGGGTTCGGACTTGATTAAAGACACGTCGGAGAAGGTGGACTTGATGCAGACGTGTCTTTTTACGGCTCAGAGCTTACAAAAAGAGCTACGCTGATAGGTGGCAAAGATCTCTAGAGTTCAAGGTTAGAGATCATATATTCTTGAAGGTTTTGCCTTAGAGGTGAGTGGTCAGGTTTGGGAAGAGGGGAAAGTAATCGTCGAGATACATCAAGTCTTTTGAGGTACTCGAAAGGGTAGGTACAATTATTTATCGGTTAGCTTTACCGCCAAATCTATTTGGTGTTCACCCGATATTTCATTTCTCCATGCTCTGGAAGTACATTTCAGATCCTACACATATGGTGGATTAGGGTGAACCGGTTGTTGATGCGAATGGGACTTTCGAGGAGGTATCGGTGCGTGTCATGGATAATTGAGAGTAGGTTTTGCGTGGCAAGAATGTGAGATTGGTGAAGGTGCTGTGGCAGTACCGTGGTATGAAGGAGACGACATGGGAGCGTGAGGATACTATCTGTACTACCTATTCTTTCTTGTTTGAGGATGGAGGTACATTTTTTGTTGTCACATAATATTATATGGCTTGTTGCATTTTCCTTTTAAGGGAGGAAGAATGTAAAATTCAAAAAATTTAAAATTTTATTAAAAAAGGGCAAAACAGTAATTAATCATTACAGTGTGGGTTGAAAATTCAAATTTTTCTAAAATTCGGATGACAAATAGACTTCACAGTTGGATTCGTCGAATTTTGAGATAGTCAGATTTTTTACGTTTTACAATACAATCGGACGTCGTGAGACTAAAATAAACGCGATTAGACTTTATTCGAGAAACTTGAGGAACAATTTAAAGTTAGTTCAAATAAATTATACTGAACTTGACACGGAGCGAGATTTAATTTGATTTGGGATGAAATTTGATCATGAAAATGGACGTGTGGCGCGTTGTGGGCCAAACATTGAAGGGGTATAAAAAGGTAGAAAAATCAGATTTTTCTCCCCATTTTTCAGCCAAACACTTACGGAAATTGAGAGAGAGGAGAAATCTCAAAGTTCTCCAAGCCTTCTTCCTCTGATCTACAAAGATCCAACCTTCGGATCTCCTCGGGCCAAGAACAAATGTTGTTCTACGTGACAAAAGCTATGCGTACGTACAAAAGATCATGTGTTTCATCACAATATCAAAGACGAGGTTTTTGGGATCAAAGTTTGGAAGCTTGATTTGGGTCTTTTGGAGCTTCTTTTACGCGGATTTAGGTAGGGTTCCTTTCCTCCCTAGGTTTATTTTCAACCTAAGGTTGATATATGAAATGGGTAGGATATTAGAGATGAAATCTCATGTATTACACATGTCTAGGGTGTTAGAGAATGGAAATGGGTATAAGATGATCTGAAATGACCATAGATGTAAAATGTAAGAAGACCATATTGTCATTCGATTGAGAAACATTCAAATAGGGACCAAAGGACTTGAGATCTGAAAAAATTCTGTAATTCTATCACCCCCCTCTAAGTCCTTTTCATGATTAAGTTCTCATTTCCCTGAAGAAAAAAGTGAACAAAACAGAAACACTTCCAAAATTTTGTTGGATTCTATGTGGCATCTTCTCATAAATTCTCTATAGTTGAACCATTTTCCTACTTTATGCATTGAGCATCAGTAATTACTTGCGGTATGCATGGTTCTTGTGGCCATAACTGCAGGTCATGGAAAAGTTATGATATGCTTGCTGCAGGATGCACAACAGAATGGCCAGAGAGTAACAATGCTGCAATTGGTGGAAAAGATGAAGCTTAAACACAGGGAAGTAGGTTAGTTCCATGTCCTGATGTATTTTGTGGCATGCTGCAATGGGTTTGTTTTGTATGTGGATTTTAGTCCACATATGTACTGGAATCATAGTTACTGCAACTTGATGGTACAAAAGTAGGAATCAAATGATTAATTGTTATTTTGTTTCCTTTTTTTTGTTGTTTTTTTTTTTTGGGTAGGGGTGGTGGTTATAGCAAATCCACAGTGCAATGCTCTTCCCACTTAAGAATCTAGATCTAGAAGGATTGTATATTATAGAGAAATCAGATCCGAAGTATGTGAAAAATAACAGCTTGTGACTTGTAAAGCTTTATTATTTAATCAAAAGGTTCCTCTGCTGCTTGAAGTTACATAAAATATGGGATGTGTTAAAAATAAAAAGCTTAGAGTAGTTGCAAAACTGAAGTTTTAACCTCCACGTGACCATTGGCTTATTCAGAAGTCTCTTGGCAAAAAGTAGTGATTTGACACTTCGGAAATCTTTGAAATTGAAATATCACTTTTTTGTTTGAGATTGAAATCCTGATGGAATAATGAAAGCATTGACAGCGGGCAATTCTTTTACCTTGAATGGTGCTCGTTTAATTCATTTTATTTGCATGCACTTTGTCATTGTTGACAATAAGGAAAGAGAAGTGACCTGGTCACCTAAGAATTGGGAGACCAACCTTATATAGTGATTAACAAGAATTACAAACATATCCATAGTAACAACTTTAGCCCTCCACCACAAACTGGAGCTTAGATATTAATCATGCCCATCATATTACAAGAATCTGTATATTGTCCCTTAGTCGAGGCCTTAGAAAGCATGTCATGTCTCCTTAGTGATCGCTGACCCTAACAAAGAATTTAAAACTGTCTCCACATCACTATATCTTGAATAAGTTGGCAATCAACTTCGCTATGTTGGTTCTCTCATGGTATACAAGGTCATTGGTAATATATATAGTCATCTAATTACCACAATACATTGCCATAGGCTTGTTATTAGGCGCCTCCATTTCCTGTAACAGGGATCGTGCCCTAACGTCTGACAAGTTCCATGTTTTGAACTCGGTCCTTGCACTGGACTTAGCTACTACAGTATGTTTTTTATTCTTCCATGTGACTATATTATTAGCAACAAATATGCAGAACCCTAACCCTAACACAGGCCTTTCATCTAGATGGTCACCTGCTAATCTACATCTGACGACTGATGCATATTTCAAATATATAAATTGGATTATATGTTTATTTACTGAGTTGATGAAAAAATCTGGTTGAGGGTATTTTTGCCATTTTAGGTTTTGATCTTGGATTGGCATAGCTACACTATTTTTTTTATTCTTCCATGTGACTATATTATTAGCAACAAATATGCAGAACCCTAACCCTAACACAGGCCATTCATCTAGATGGTCACCTGCTAATCTACATCTGACGACTGATGCATATTTGTACATATATAAATTGGATTATATGTTTATTTACCGAGTTGATGAAAAAATCTGGTTGAGGGTATTTTTGCCATTTTAGGTTTTGATCTTGGATTGGCATTGCTACACCTAAGTTAGGTTTTTTTTTTTTTGGGTGTTTTGCAAAAAAAGTTATGTTTGGGGTGATTAGGAGTTACTTAGTTCTTTGGGTTTTTGTCTCAAAATGTTGTGCTGGCTTCCTTTAGAAGCTTTTGTTCCAGCAGTTTTTGAGCTATAACTTTTGTAACTAACAAGGGTTTCAATATTTGGAGGCTAGGGTAGTGAGGATTTGACCCCGCAGTGCCTATCAATCCCTCTGTTGCCGCTTTACATGCGAGGCTAGCTAAATGCGGCAATTTCTACTTAAATTCAGTCTAGAAAAGTTCCAGAATCTGGTTTTTATCTTGGGTCAAAGGATCATACATGGTCTTTGTTACTTAATACCAATTCTCGTAGCTATTTCATGTTGGATATTGTATTTCTACATTGCCTTGAGAATTCAGCACTATATCATCCATATAATTGCCCTGTTGTTGTACCTTTTTACATCAAATTAGTAACAGAGAAAGTTCTTTTCTTGGGCTCCCTCCTGTTTTGTTTTTGGAGTATTTTAAGCTATATTCAGAAAAACGTGGTTATAAGAGGTGGAGGGGGAAATCATGGTAGAAGCAAGAGATATGCATTGCTAAAATGTTTGAAGCATTGCAGGAACAAATTGAGCATGCTACTTAGCAGGTTATGCAAGCAACCAATGACCGGATTTGAGGGGATAAGAGCAACCATGTATCTGTTTGCATTAGGGAGATTGAGAATGGACCTAATCACTTTTCTGGAGGAGAAAGTGATAGTTCTAGCTAAGGAAGAAGGTCCATTCAAGACATGCTCATGCCACACAATGTAAGAAGTTAGTTATTATTAGTTATTGTTATGGGTATTTTGTAATGCATTAGTTATCAGTACAAATATGGCTGGACTCCTCCATTCAAGGGTGAACCAGTCACATTTCATTTCCAATCTCAACATGGTCTCAGAGCGACTAAAACCCTAATCCCCACTGTTGACTCTTCTTCTTCTTTACTGAAGACCAACCGTCATCCCAATCTGTCCAGATCAGCCGTCGTCGCCGAACAGAAAAGCAGTCACCATCAGTTGCAACCAGAAGCACAGTCGTCATCTGGCGACTTTGACTTAGCAAAACCCCAGCCATCGGCAGTCACACACAGCCCAGATTAGTCAGCAGCCCTTTCCATCCACGTTAACTTCGATCACAATTCAAACAGTAACGACCAGTGAACCCAAATACCAGGTAACTGACCCATGAACCCAAATACCAGACCAATACACCAAACCCTGAAATTTACCTAGCCCCAAACCTGTTTCTTTTAACCAAAGAAAAAAATAAAGGCAAAAACAGAGAGTGGTTCACCTATCCTCCACTCATGTATTTGGCAGTGCGATAGCTCCCTCCAATCACTTTGATGGCCCTTCTTTTTTTTTTCGCTAGACCTGGTGATAGTTGATGCTTTATGGTGTCCTTTGCTAAAAGTTTTGGTAATGTTTTGTATGTTAGGCATATTGGGGATTCCAACTGTGAACGTTGGGTTTTTTTAAAGATCTACAGTATTTTCCAGATTTGCATGGTTACTAATTACGTTTAAGGCAGAGCCTAGTACTGCAAAAGTTTTATTTCCTCCAAAACTGATATCTTCTCCCTCATCTTATGTTGTTAATATGCAAATCACCACTACCAAATTGAATGAATCCAGTTACTTGTTATGAAAGTAGCATTAGGGGTCATAGAAAATTGAAATATATTTAATCTCCTCCATCTTCTGATAAGAAGTATGAGGAATGGGAATCTTAGAACTATATGGTTATGTCTTGGCTGTGGAATAGGATGGAACAGTCGGTGAACTCAAATTTCATGTTTTTATCTACTGCTAAGGAGATTTGGGAGGCAATCTGTGAGACATACTCGATGGAGAAGTATCAGAACTCATTTCTTCTTCAATAGCATGACTTATTTCTTCTTTCACAACATGATTTATTTCTTCTTCAACAACATGACTTATTTCTTCTTCAACAACATTACAAATCTGTGACTAAATACTACAACACCTTCAAGGTTCACTAGATGAGTTGAATTAGTATCACCTTGTTACTAGTGATGTTGAGATTCTTAAGGTACCACGAGGGATTTTATGGTTCTAATTTTCTCTCCAGGCCATCCAAAACAGCAATCAGTGAGGGCTTATATTTTGGCTGGAGATTGTAGTATTCCTTCCTTGAGTAATGTGTATGCTAGAGTTCTTCGAGCTACTATTGGGTCCTGTCAGAAAGTTTGGGTAATTCTAATTCAGGATTTGATGGATTTAGTAGAGGTCGTGGGCAGGGTGAGGTAGAGGTGGTACAGGACGTGGGAGAGATGATGTGTGTTAATGTACTAATTGTGAAAATCACACAATAAATCGTTGTTTTGACCTTCATGGTAAACGTGGGTTACCTCCTCAAACCAGGTTATGTATTCTTCAGACAATTCCATGGCTTCTCCACATGAAGTCTGTGCTCCTACAATGTCGACTGCTGTATCTCTAGTGATTCTGTCACTCTTACCTGGGAAGAGAATCATGACTTAGTTCAGCAACACCAACACCAACGCTTGTCTACACCTGATACTGCTGTCTTTGCTCATTCAGGTAACATAGCATGTTTTTCATCTTCTTCCTCTACCCTATGGGTAATAGACTCTAGGGCTTCTGCACACGTCACCGGTAAGATTACCTTGTTTTCTAATTTACACTGTAAGCCTACCAAATCATCTGTTATTCTAGCTGATGGCTGGTCTTGTAGAATAGCTGGTAGTGGTATAGTTCATCCTACTTGAGTCCTTTATCTTCACTGCAATATATCCCTAAATTTCCCTTTAATCTTTTATCTGTTAGCACAAGTCTTTGAATTGTTCTGTAATGTTCTTTCCCTCTTATTGTGTTTTTTATTACCTCAACTCGAAGCGGACGATTGGCAGAGGTCATTAGCGGGATGGTCTCTATTACCTTGATCAAGTTCCTATTAGTGGAAGCAGTGTTATTTAAGGCATAAAGCGAACCGAAGCGACCAAGGCTCCTAATGCCTAGGCAAGAAGTGAGAAGCGAAGCGAACAGTTAAAAAAAAAGTAAATATTTTAGTTTAGTTACTTCTAAACATCTAAATTCTAATTTTATATACACTAAATATTTAAATGCAAGTAAACCAAAAACATTTAAATTAAAAAAAAATACTAATAATATCTCAAATCTTAATAACAGTCATACCTTAAACAATTAAATTCAAACAAACACTAATAATATCCCACAATCAGCAACATTAAAATCAAAAATCAGCTATTATAGCACTGTCAGCAAAATCAGCTATTCAGAATCAACAGCATTACAACACTATCAGCTATTCTGAATCAGCAAATTACAACATTACAACACTATCAGCATTACAGCATTAGAGCAAAAAATAAGCAGCAGAAAAAAATCAGCAGCATTAAATTCAGCATTCAGCATTACAACACTATCAGCAAAATCAGCTATTCAGAATTAGCAGCATTAAAATCAAAAATCAAAATTAAAATCAGCAGCTATTCAAAAATCAACAGTATTAAAATCAGAATCATTAGCTAAAAATTAGAATCAAAACCAGAAAATCAGAATTATTAGAAAAATTAGAAGAAGAAGTAGAAAAAAAAAAGAAGAACCAGAAAGAAGAAGCTGAAAGAAAAAAAAATAGAAAGAAGTAGGAAAAAAAAAGAAGCAGCAGCAGAAAGAAGAAAAAGTAGAAAGAAGAAAAAGTAGAAAAAAAAACAGAAAGAAGAAGCAAAAAAAAAAAAAAAACAGAATCAGAGGCGAAGAAGAGATGCAGAAGAGAGAAGAAAAAGAGGAGACAAACCTGGACTAGCGAGGAATGAGAAGCAGCAACAGTCTTCGTCTCTGACCAACGAGCAAGGAACAGCACAGCAGCAGCGATCGCCTGACCAGAGAGGAAGGAGCAGCAACAACGATCGCCTGACTAGAGAGGAAGGAGCAGCACCGATAGTGAGAGGAAAGAGTAGCAGCGATTGTCTGATGCTGAAAATTAGGGTTTGGGTTTTATATTTATGGGATAAGGGGGATAATTGGGTGTATTGACATCTTATAATTTTTTTTCAATTGCCTCAATCCAACGGTCTACAATAAAAATAAAATAATCAAACGGTCCACAATAAAAATAAAAGATTACTTCGCCTCGCATGACTAAGGCGTTCGCTTAAGCGAAAGGAGCTTGTTTTTCTCGCTTTTTTCTCGTTTTAGTCACGTTCGCTTCGCTTGGGGTATTCAAGGCGAGATACCTTTGCTTTGCCTCGTTTCTCGTTTAGGCGAGCTTTTCAAAACACTGAGTGGAAGTGTTACAGCTTTTGAAGAAGGCGTTTCACCTCGTTAGTGTCATTATCATCTTGGTCATTCTTCAATTGAGTCTTTGAAGATTTTGTTTTCGTCCTTCAAGTCTTTGTCTAGATTGAAGTTTCCCCTTGAGCCCAAATAATCGCCGATCCACTCCTTTTGAGTTAGTTCACTATGATATTTGGGCCCATCCCAGTGTAAGAGTTTGTTAGGTTTCTCATATTTTTGTTTCCTTTGTGGATGACTATTCAAGAATGACTTGGATATTTGTAATGGAGGATTGTTTAAGAATTGCTTCTATGTTTAAATTGTTTCATAAGGAAGTTGTGACTCAGTTTGGTTGTCCCATTTGCATTTTACAGTTCGATATTGTCTGCGAATCAAGGACTTTTTCAGGCTTCTTGTGATTCTCATGGTATCATACACCAAATTTCTTCTTGTTATACTCCTCAACAAAATGGAGTTGCATAGTGTCGAAATTCACATCTTCTTGAAATTGCTAGAACTCTTATGATTTAGATGCATGTTCCGAAATAGTTTTGGGGGAGGCAATTCGTACAACTTGTTATCTTATCAATAGCATCATGCCATTTGCCCTTCATGGGGGTATTTTGTACTGTGTCTTGTATCTTAGTAAGTCTTTATTTACTTTACCCTGACGAGCATTTGGTTGTCTCTGTTCTTACTTGCCGGCATGATATGTTAAGTTCGTGAGTTGCTAAATGGGCTTTTCTTGGGTATTCTAGAATTCAAAAGGATGACTTGGATAAGTTCGTTAGGTTTCTCATATTTTTGTTTCCTTTGTGGATGACTATTCAAGAATGACTTGAATATTTGTAATGGAGGATTGTTTAAGAATTGCTTCTATGTTTAAATTGTTTCATAAGGAAGTTGTGACTCAGTTTGGTTGTCCCATTTGCATTTTACAGTTCGATATTGTCTGCGAATCAAGGACTTTTTCAGGCTTCTTGTGATTCTCATGGTATCATACACCAAATTTCTTCTTGTTATACTCCTCAACAAAATGGAGTTGCATAGCGTCGAAATTCACATCTTCTTGAAATTGCTAGAACTCTTATGATTTAGATGCATGTTCCGAAATAGTTTTGGGGGGAGGCAATTCGTACAACTTGTTATCTTATCAATAGCATCATGCCCTTTGCCCTTCATGGGGGTATTTTGTACTGTGTCTTGTATCTTAGTAAGTCTTTATTTACTTTACCTGACGAGCATTTGGTTGTCTCTGTTCTTACTTGCCGGCATGATATGTTAAGTTCGTGAGTTGCTAAATGGGCTTTTCTTGGGTATTCTAGAATTCAAAAGGGATACAAAGGTTGAAATCCTCGATCACACCGTTTTTTGGTCAATGCATAGGTTACTTTCTTTGAAGGTACAAAATTGTTTTCATCTATTGGTGTTTCCTTGGACTTTGATATACTCAAGTCTTCATCCATCCCTTTGCTAGTTCCTCCGACTGGTGTCTCCACTTATTCCCCTCCCAAGAGTAAACCACTGCAGGCATATATTGTAGACTACCGAAAAAGAAGATCCGTTTCCACCATCTCTCTTCATCCACTTTGCTTGGGGTTCTTGATCCATCAAATTCAGATCCTCCTATGACTGTCACAAAAGGTAGTTGTTCTTGCACTCAACATCCTATTGACAAGGTTGTTTCTTGTTCTCATTTGTGTTCGCAATATCGTACATTTACGAATACTTTGTCCTCTGTTTTTGTTCCTAAAAATCATGCACAAACATTAACTTCACCTAGATGAAAGCTATGGATGAGGAGATGTTAGGTAGCCCTCA